ACAACCCAATCCCCACACATAATTCCCTTTTTAAAATACATAGTGTTTTAACACTGAAAACTATACAGAAAAAAAAAAGAGTCCTTCACTTCCAAATGCCTTCTCTCCTTATTCCTCATCCTTTTTCTTGAATTATCTTCTCTCCCCTCCATGTGTATTATAAAAATAAGTAGATTTAGCCAGGTGGTGGTACACACCTGCACTCCCAACACTGGGGAGGCTGAAGCAGGATGTTTTCAGCTTTGCGGCCTCTCTGGGCTACATATCTAGCTCCAAAGAAAAGAAGTCAAATCTGTTTCTTTGTCCCTCTTTTTGCTCACAGGGCAGTGTGGGAGATGCACTCTTGATGCTTTTCTCTTTTGTTAAGATTCCAGGGGGTGAAAACCCATCACTGTCGCAGTGGGAAATACCCAGCAGGCAGGCATGGCTGCAGGAACAGCTAAGAGCTTACATCTTGAACTCCAGGCAGCAAGGAGAATGAATGAGGATTGACATCCAAGTTTTTAAACCTCAAAGCCTGTTCTCAGTGACATACTTCTTCCAGTAAGGCCTAATCCTACCCAAACAGTGCCACAGACTGGGAACTAAGGATTCAAATGCCTGAGGCTGTGGAGGGACAATCATCACCCAAATCCCCACAAGTCCTGTACAACCTCAGTCCCTAGTAAAATCTTCCAGTCTCCAAGGACTTTATCAGGTTAAATGAAGCCACTGCAGTTTTAAAATGAACCCATTAGCTAGGAAGCTGGTTCAGCAGGTTAAAGTGTTTGTTGCACAGGCCTGGGGACATGAGTACAAATCCCCAATAGTTGAACAAAAAGCCAGGGGTGCTTTTGCAAATGCCTGTGGCTCCACTGCTGTGGGGGACAGACAGACGGATCAATAGAAACGATGGTTGCCAATCTAACCCTAGGTTCAGTAAGAGACTGTGCCTCAAAAAATTAAGGTGGAACATGATAGAGCATGACTCCCAATGTCCTCTTCTTGGTTCTACACAAGGTCATAGACACACATGTTTCCTCCCTCCCCCTAACACACACACACACACACACACACACACACACAATTTAACTTTTTTTAAAAAAGAACTAATTCCTTCAACATGCCATTCTCTCTTAGACAGAAGCCTGGCTGGTAGGGCAGAGGATGACTCAGAGTAAAACTGAGGTTTAAATGAAGTCCCTGAGTTGCCATTAGCAGAATATCTGGCCATTTGGTAGCTTCTGAGTCACAGGAGCACACTGCTTGGCCCATTGGTGGAAGCTGACTGCCCTGCAATGAGTACAGCATCAGCAAGGGCAGGTCAGAGTGGGACTGGAGAGCAGCACAAGACCACTTAGACGTTCTGGTGTGGCATAAAGAGGGGTTCACAGGAGAGGTCATACCTCTTTAATATCCTCCATTTCAGAGCTATGACCAACTGAGGAGAGCCTCTACCCGAAGCCACTTCTGCCCATTTCAAAAGATACAGGGAGCTGGTTGAGCCCAGATGAGAACCCTCATTGTAAAAGTTGTCCGGAAAAAATTGTTAAAGAAGATGAAGACCTGTTCTGACTTTCAAAGGACAGATCTATACTCATCTGGGAAATCAGCGGAATCAGGGAGATGTCAGGGTTGGATGAGCAACTAGGCACTCAGGCTGACACAGCCAGGGTTTAAGGTGCTAGGATCAACAACTGCTGGCTTCTCCTATCACATTTCTCAGGTGGAGGAAGCAGGAGCTGTGCTAGCTTCTGCTACATAGATAACTATTACACTTCTGGGTTGTTCTTTCTCAGATTTGGTGACCAAATTTAGAACAAACTAGCAGATTTCAGGTCCTAGAATTCTAGGAAGGGGCTCTGTAGTTCCTGGTGACCATTTGGGCTAACAGTTTATATTTACCCACTTTTACTGAGAGCAGTCCCATACTCAACTGTCCAAAATGTTGGCATGCCCTGGGAAAGTCCCTTCATATTCATTTTGATGGCTAAGGATGTAGTCAGTGGCAGAGTACTTGCCTAACATGCATGAGGTCCTAGGTTCTATCCCCAGCATTGCAAAAAGCAAAAAGTTATTGAGTCACTTGAAAAATTGCCTAACAAGCAGCGAACTGGATTGACTTGAACTCTTCTCTTGCTCCAGAATCCTGATAGTGTCCAGGGACATGAAATTCTGGAATGGGGACTGCTATGATGTGCTAGCTTATCCTTCACACTCAGCACTGGAACTTGGCTCTGTGACCTTGGGGAGTCCTGAGACAGTATTCCCACTATGTCAGCCAAGCAGGGTGGAGCTCTGCCAGGGGAAGTGAGCTCACAGCATGCACAAGTTGGGCCTGAGATTACCAGGCAGAGGTTAGAGGCCAGAGCCAAGAGGAAGCCAGTGTCATACCTTGGTAGTCTTTAAATGTCATTGGTGACATTCTTTATCAGTAAATACAGATTCAAACAAAATAGAAGCCTCCACCTCCCAAGAACATATTTGTTATAAACTATACATATTCTCATCACCATGTTAAGTTATATATAATATAAGGCAATCAGGATAGATCGTTTAAGGATAAGAAAAAGACCTACTTAGCAACTCATCTTTTATCTCACTCTGGGGGACCCTGTGAGGACTAGGAAAGAGCCAGGTGTTGAAAAGAACTGATAAAACAACAAGGACAGAAAAATGGTACCTGATACAGGGCTGGTGCCATCTCCCTTTTCAGTCATGACTGAGTACTATCTGTTGTGTGGTCTACTCAGTAGCTTTCCGTGAACCAACTCACTTTTCTTAAATTTAGCCTCATTGCTCAAAAGAACAGGCTTTTTATGCAGCTAGAGTTGTCTGCCAATGCCTATAAGATACATACAAAAGAATCCAGAGAGAATACTTGTCCACATACCCCCGGAAGATTACTTGTTGGTCCCTACTTGTATGATAGGACCTTTCTGTGGGAGACTTCCACCTTGCATCTGACTTCAGATTAGGTGGGGAGGGCAGGAGGCTTCCCAAAGTTAGAGGGTACATGTTCCCTGGTACCACGGGAACATGTGTAGGATTGCCTCCAGGCCAGGAGCTACAAGCATTTCATACTAAGAGAGACCAGAAAGAGTGGGATGGGGGAGCCAGACATCTCCCCATGAGAATTTTGTGAACATATTAGTTGTAGACTGTCAAGCTCTGGACCTCAACCCATAGCACAACCGCTACAGTCCATTGCTGGTCCTGTCTGCACCATACTTCCCATATTGTACTGGACCCACATAGTCAAGAGGTATACTCTGCTTCGTAGGCAGCTGTGCTTATAAAGCCCATACCTAGTAGAGGATGGCTAAGAGCAAGCAAGTAAAACAACAGAACGTCAGTGCTGCTGGTCAGAGATGCTGGAGAGTGAAACAGAAACAAGGGGAGGGGAGGGAAGGACACATGTACTGTAAAGAATTCTAAATAATTTATACAAATAGGGTTGGGGGCTGTAGCTCAAAGGACTAGCATGCCCAAGGCCCCAGGGATGAATCAACAATACTTTCAGTGGGGACTTCCTTCCACAGAGCATGGTATAGAAGAAGGAGAAGAGTAACTTGTCCATGAAGAAACCTGAGAGTAGCAGGGCAAGTAAAAGATTGACATCCAGTCTTAAGATGATGTTGCCAGTGTGTGTTCTGGCCATGATGTCACAAGAAGGCAACTTCCCTTCTATGGTCTTCCTTTTCAAAACCCGTAGCCCCAGCCTAATGATTGGGGAGAAATCAGATAAACTCTGGGGGTTTCTGGCCAGGATCCCACACACTGCTAAATGCATCAAAATTGAGGAAAATCCTAAAAAACTCATGACCCAGAAGAACCTAAGTGCAGTGGCTTGATCTAATAAGATCCTAGGACAGTAAAGGACATTGGGGAAAGGAGTGAAGTCTGAACAAAGTACACAGTTTAGTTACTCATTTAAAAAGAGCTAAGGAAAAGAACAGGTGAGGAGAGTGACCAAGGTACTTCCAAGGAGGTGACATTTAAGCTGAGCATTGGAGGATGTAACTGAGTAACACCCATGTCTGAGAAAGTGTGGGATATTCGAGAGTAGCCAGCAATAAGCCTAACATGGCCAGAGTGGGGAGCCAGCGAGGCAGAGAAGGCCAGGGGTGAGATCAGAGGCAGACAGGGCCAGGCGTAGGAGGCTCCAGGCAATGGTCTGCACACGTTGGATTTCATCCTGAATGTGAGGAGAAAGCATTCATAGTTTGGAAAAAAAGAGGAACATGAGCTTTTTTCCACTTACTGTCACTTGGGTTTGTTGGAGAACAAATGAGGACAAGATAGGAAGTGGAGGCCGCCTGAGAGATCTGTGTCTGCCAGCAGAGAACTCAGGGGAAGAGCACCCAGCCCAGGGATGATTAGCATCTGCCTGAGAAAGGACTCCTGATGGGGATACCAGGAAGCACAGCATCGCTCTTGACTTCCAGTTGTTTCTGCTCAGTTGTCCTTAATGTCTGTGGCACTAAAAATATACACTGCACTTTAAGTCAGTTGCTGTAAGTTGCTCTTCCAGAGTTGGAAAAAAAACAAAATGAGGTTTTTAACTTGCCTCTACCTTCCAGAGGTTGTGAATGGAAAGGGGGCATATGGCCTCTGTCCTGCCAGAGCTGTTTCTAAAGTGTAAAGAGCTCCTGAGCAGTCCAGTAATTTGGTAAGGACTCACTAGCCACATGTCCTGTCTCCTGAACTGCCTCCAACCCTTTGGCAGGGAAATGTGCTAACAGTGGAGTCAAATGTCTTTCTAAGACGGCAATAAAAGAAATGACTTCCTTGTATGTTTGTCCAGGTTAGGGCTGAGGTCTTGGTGTTGCTCAGATGGATGGACAGAGCTCTGACCTAGATACTTTCTGCCCATATGTTGCTGATGTCCACCCCCACTGTTAAGACTTGCTTAACATGTCTGGGGCACTTTACACATGCTTGGTCTAGAAATTGAGGAGGCTTCTGAGTCTCTGTTACTGATGTCAGCTGGGCTCACCTGTCTCCATGTTCACTTCCAGAGATTGAGATGGTGATCATGGAGCGAGGCAAGCTCTCAGAGCTGGCTGCAGCTGGGACCTCAGTGCGGGAGCAGAACACCACAGATGAGGAGAAGAGTGCTGCCACAGGCTCAGAGAGTGCACAGTGGAGCAGGTAAACAGCTGGGCGCTGCTGGGAGCTACTGGACAGCCACTCATCCTTAAGAAAGGGTAAACACCTGGTCATGGCTTACTCCTGCCTACCAGATGACTGTTCTGTTCCCCTTTGTTCCCTCTGCTCCAGCAGAGGTAGGGGTTTTTGGGATGCATGAGGGAAGAACTGGCCCTTGACATATCCTCATACTTTTATGCTTTGGCAATGTGGCCAGGACAGGACACTACCACCGTGGAACACTTGGTAGCTAGGCTGGGTCTAAAGGATGTAGGCCATTCCCAGGAAGACCCTCTCATGAATCAGGCATGGAATCCCCATCTCAATCCTTGATTGCCATGCTTTCCCATATCTGTGGGGCCTTTAGCATGTAGTCAGTTTGGTTCAGTGCTGCCTTCTCTCCTAGCCCATTGCCCTGACACTCAGCTGAGGGATGGCTTATGAAACTGATCTTGAACCTGGCCCTGCATATTTTCTACAGTCTTGCTGAAGCTCATCAGCCGCAGCACAGGGTTGCCCCCATAGTCTGCAGTAAGATGCTAGAGGACATCTTCATTTTAAGGTTGTTGTACATCTGCCAGGCAGCTACACCGCATAGGTCTCAGCAGCAGTCTTAATGTGCTAGTGCTATTGCAGGCGCTGTGATATGGGTTCTTGGTCTCCCTGTGGCACATTGCTCCTTGAAGCCTTAAGATGTGGCCAGGAATGTACTCCAGCCACATACATACCTCATTTGTTAGCCCAGTTTAAAGCATGAAACACTCTTACTTTCAGGTTTGTTTTTTTTTTTTCTCCATATCTTATTGGTTGGTGAGTGGATAGATGGTGCTGAGGATGGAGCCCAAGCCCTACATCAAGTAAGCCAGTATTGTGCTGCGGAGCTATGTACATTATTATCCTGTTGTTCTTTTTTTTTTTTTTTGACAAGTGTTTGATTGTCTAATAGGATTAATTTGTGACAGATATACAAGATAGCAGGGGTCTTGGAGGCGTTGGGTAACTAAAAAACATTGGCTAGCATGTGGTATGGGTTTTCAGTTTTAACCTATTACAATTTTACTTAACAACAAGTTGTAACCCCTGAGCTCTGCAAATGAAGGTCATTCTAAGCACAGAAGAGATGGGCATGGCCCACCATTAGTTAGAATGTGAATAATTGGAAAGACCACAAATGACAAACAGTAGAGGATACTTAAGCAAATGAGATGTCTGCTCACAGTTCAGATTTTTAGGATCCACTACATGGAATCATGATCCTAACAGTAACACTGAAGCTTTGTGGAAGTGAGAAGGAGAGCAAGATGCTTTGTTTGACTGTTGGACCTAATGACTTCTTTCCCCTACATTTTAGTGAGCAGAGGGGTTTTCTTAGCGATGAGTGGGTTCTTTCGAACCTTGGGTGATTAACTGGTAACTGAGACCACATGGCTTTCTAATTAGCAGAAGCTGACTCAGGTGCCTGAAGCTGGCCTGTTCTCTGTGTTCCTGAGATGGAGACAGTGTCCCTAATACCCACTTCCCAGCACAGAGGGTGAAGGACAATGGCCATTTGTTCCCAGAGCATAGTTGAGTCTTGACATCTATCCCACCATAGTGAGAACTAGAACTACTGTGATTTTTCTTGCCTACATCTGGGGCCAAGTTAGAGCCAAAATAAACCACAAAGAGCCCTCTCTCCCCTCACCCCCCAAAAAAGTTTTTTTTTGAGACTAGCTTAATAAGTAGCTCTCTCTGGCTGGCCTGGAACCCACAGAGCTCCACCTGCCTTTGCCTCCTGAGTGCTGGGATTAAAAGATGGGCACCTCAGGCCCTATCCAGCAACCTTTAAAATATATATAAATGATGTGTATCAAAAAATGAAAACTCTTCAGAAGTGCAAGGAATAAATAAAAGCCAATGATCCCAGATGTTCTTTTTTTTCCCCTCCATGACAGGGTTTCTCTGTGTAGCCTTGGCTGTCCTGGACTTGCTTTGTAGACCAGGCTGGCCTCAAAATCACAGAGATCCACCTGTCTCTGCCTCAGTGCTGGGATTACAGGCGAGCACAACCACACCTGGCTCAGATGTTCCTGTTTTGATTATCTCTTATACCAACTTTTTCAATACCACTTTTCAGAGAATTTTGCTCCCTTCCCTAGCTCATGCCTGTCTTGTTTTATATCTCCTTATTGCTATCTAGCATCAAACTCTAGTAACTCTTTTTCACATCATTATCCTGTTAGTAAACATGCTTAGTAGCTTCATAATACTTTATCTCGTACATAAAAGATAGGACACCCACCAAGCCCTTCAGTATTGTGCTTGGTTATTGGTACTATTCCCAAGTGGCAAACACAATCTAAATTGCAAGGAGCTGGTTTACAAGAAATGTTTTACACTTTATCTTGCTCTCATTTGTGGCAGAATTATTGCTAGAAGCTTACAGAACCCAAGTCTGCAGACAACAGAGCTGTGGACATATCTGAATGCAGGAGCCCCATCCTGGGCACCAGGAAATAGAGACTGAATGACACTGTCCCCTTTTAATTTTGTGTGTCCTGTGTTTATTTGAAACATGACAAACACATTTTTCCCACTTCTTTATTTTTGTTTTTTAGCTTAAATATTTTATATTGATGCATTATGGATCTGGGCACTCAAACCAAGGAGCTAAGAATGTAATTTAGTAGTAGAGCACTTGCCGTCCAGTTCATTCCAGCTCCACCCCATCAGAGGTCTAAGATAGTCAAGATGGTGTTCAATATTCTGCAGCAAATGGCCTCCTTTGAACAATCCTAGTTTCAGTCCTCTTAGGTAGTCCATGTTGCTAATGCCCATGTGTCCTTCCAGATGTGAAATTCATCCTTGATACAGTGCTTGGCTTTCTTGGCCTGAGCTTGCCAATCAGTGGGGCAGCCTCAAAAGGAACTGGAGCCTCTCCTAACCCCCAGGCCTGCCCTGGGTTTATTCTGTTGTCTGTTATTGAAGAGTCTTGTCAGGCTTGGCCCTACCTGGGAAGGGCAGCTTTTGGGATGTGGATTTTCCTGGTTTTGGCCACTCTTTATATCTTACCCACAGAGTACAGAAGGTGAGAGACATCACTATCAATTCTTCTAGTCAAGGAATATCAGCCCAAGAAATTGCTGAGCCTGGACACTGCCAAAATGAAATCACGGAGAAGTGTCCTTGAAAAGTTAATATAGGAATCAAGTGCAAGTTCATGACCTTGCTGAGGCCCTCCAGTCATCCTCTCAGGCTGAGATGATTCTTTGCAGTTAAAGAACTCACCAGAGGGAAGAATCAGACTGGCATTTGAACCCTTTAAATGTATTCATGTTGCTGTCTGGGCCTTGCCTAGTAGCAGTATTGGCCTATTATATTGTCCTGTTTTCTTTTTTCCTCTTTCCATCTTTCCTTTAAAGTAATGATGTGTGCCTATGTGTCTCTGCCAGCTGGCATGGGAGTGCAAAAGAGCAGGACTTTGTACCTATCATTTCCAGAGTCTGGGACATCTAGTGAATGACATCAAGTGACTAAATGGCCTATCCCTTGGTTAACCACCACCACCACCACCACCCCACCCCACCCCCCGCACCCCAGCAGCTTTTCAAGGTCAGACCCCATCTCTCATTCATATGGGTGTATTCCTAGTACCTGATTCTGGACCAGGCACATACTGCACTCACCACAAACTAGTGGCCTTAGAGCCCATACCTGTGAGAAGCAAAGACAGCTGATACTGTCAGGTGAGAAAGAGAAAATGTACACTGTGTGCCAGAGGCTTACAGACTTCTCCTCTTTTCTAGACCCTTCCTGGATATGGTATACCATGCCCTGGACAGCCCTGATGATGATTATCATGCCCTCTTCGTGCTCTGCCTCCTATACGCCATGTCCCATAATAAAGGTAGGCATGTTCCTCTCCTGTGTCATGTCTGTGACACAGTGCTGTCTCTGTAGTATTTTTCCTCTTCACTGATGCAGAGGGAGGGAGGGCACTTTGGGAAGGATTTCTTTCTGGCCTCTCAGGCTGACTCCTGCCATGCTCTTCTTCACCCTCATTACAATTTCTCAGGTGTTTTTAAAGCCAAAAGCATTGGTGGCTTAGGTGTGGCAGGGAAAATTTTAAGTGTGGCTGTCTAACCCAATGAAACCACCTCCCACCGTGGCTTTCTACAGACTACAAGTAACTTAACCAATGACCACTTTTCTGACATCAGAGACAAAATTAGTCAAATTGGAACCTTGGTTTTGCTATTTATAATATTTGATGTGCTTGCCATGGGTTTGGTGTTAAAATAGACCTGGTGGAAGCATAGGTTTCCTTTCTGAAGAGAAGTGTGGTTCTCCAGATTCCCTTGCTCAGGCTGTGTGGCTAGGCCACAGTTTCAATGGGCTGACAGTTCATTGGCATGCACCAGTCTTCCCTCAGTGCCCATGCTGGAAGCTGTTTTGGTGTTGGCCCATCTGGCTCCCGGCAGCCAAGGTTGGAGACTTTCCTCAAAAACACTCAAAAGAACTGGACTTGGCATAGATTGACACACAGCTTCAAGTAACATTCCAAGAAGTTTACATTAAGCTTGTGGGAGTACATAGAAGTGATGTTTACTAAGAGAACCTATGACTAGAGTCATTAAAGCAGAACTGAATATTTATTTATTCTTAAATCAGCAGTAATGAAAATTAAGTCCATTGGCAACACAAACGCCTCCCTTCTGCTTTGTCCCCAGCCTTCCTCTTCAAGGCAGCTTCTGCATCAGTTTCTCACATCCTCTAAAGAAGCTGTGCATGCCCCTCAGTTAAGAGGTCAGCCAGCTGCACCGTAGCCATCAGTGTGTGTCCATGTGGCTGTTGCTGGGCCTGCCTTTCTCTTCCATCAGGGCTTGGCACAGTGCTTGATGTGTGTGTGTGGAAATGCCTGCTGCATTTATGGGCATCTCCCATACATGCACTAGACACCTCGAGGTTTTCTTCTCCAGAAAGACATTCTTTTTTTTTTCATCCCAATCAGAGCTTCTCCTCCAAGTCCCTCCCTCTCCCCACCCCTCCCCCTATGCCTCCATCCTCCTTCCCTTTCTCCTCAGAGAATGGGATATCAACCCGCCTTAGCATATCAAGTTGTAGTAGGACTGGGTGCATCTTCTAGAAGGGCATTCTTGAGAGCACTGCTCCATGTGACCTATAGTGCTCATAACAAGGGCCTGAGGCCACCGCCTCCTCCTTCCTCTCCCTCATCCTTTCCTCCCTCTGTGGTAGTGGGTAGAGATGGAACCCAGAGCCCCATGTATGCTAGCCCAGTCTCATTGCCTGAGGCTTTAAAGAGCATGGCAGGCTCCAATTCCTGCTGGTGTCCTGTCTCGTACTTCCCACACATGCAGTCTCCTTCCTACTCCTCTGCCCAGCCCCAGCACCTAGACCACTGCCCCCCCAACACACACACACACACACACACACACACACGCCACCCATGACTGGGAAGCAAGCAAGTCCATGACAGCTGCTGCTTCCCCATAGACTCTGTAGTCAGTTCCTGCTGGTGGCATGCTGGATACCTCAGCCCAGTGTTCCAGCATACCTGGCAAGGTTGTATTAATCCCAATAAATACATATTCCCTGCCATTCCATTGCTCTTAGCATTGCCATCCAGAATTGCAGCTGCCATGACCATCTGTAGTTTGCTTCCTTTGCTTCTGACAGTTTCTCACTAGATTGTCTGTTTTTCCTCTGGCATGTCTGATCAGCTGACTTATCCAGTGTGTCTGCCCAGGGCTGGCTCCAAGGCAAGAGCAAAGGAGGCTGGGCTTACAGTTCAATGGTCATTATCTCAGGCCTGCTGATTATCAGTTCCTGCTAGGGTCAAGGGTATTGCTGTTTTATAGCCCAGCTTCCATAGCACACACCCCTTACAGTAAGACTGCTTTGACCTTGTCTTTTGCTGTTCAGGAACCTTTAGTTTCCCCCTTAACCTCCATCCTCCTATGCCTGTTCTATGGAGTATCTAGACAGTACCTCCTCTTCTACCTTGATTTGATTTCGAGGATTCTCTTCAGATCTTTAGCTGGACTTCTTTCACACTGGGCTGCAACAGTACCTCTGGTTGAGGTACACTAGAGGTAACTTTCATGCTACTCACTGAGCTCATCCATGTTCCCGTGGACAAGGAGTGGAAACTGCCTCTCTTCCATGGAGGTAGAAAGGAACAGTCTATGAGAAGCCCGGGGGCGCATTACAAGAGCCAGGAAACTGATGGAAAGCCCAGGGAAGGACTGGGAAGGGCTGGTAGACACCTCAGCAATAAGTACTGGTGAGCCTTCCCTTGAGGACTTTGATTTGGTCCTACTCAGTCCCAAGATGGCTGCTTGGTGTAGTGCCTGACTATGGAATGGTCAGTGTTGGCTAGGGGTGGTGGCATCATAGCACATACTCGGCCCTAGGTCTCAGCCCTAGGACTCAGCCCTAGGACTAGTGTTTCTGACTCTTCTTTGGAAGCCCAGTAGCCACCCTAGTTAGTGCCGGCATTCCACCTGTTCCCACGCAGTCTGCACCTTCTTATAGTCACTTGTAGTCTTTCTTGCTCTTTTCCAAATCATCACCTACTAAATTTGTTTCTCCTAGAAATCACCCTCTCCAAAGTTATTTCCAGTTCTCCTAGGTGACTCTGGGTTAATGCTACCTGCTATGAAATTTTATGGACGTTGCTGGATTTGACATGATATGTTTTTTAAGGTGTTTGTTGTTGTTTTGTGTTTTTGTTTTTGATTTGTGGGTTTTTGTTTTTGTTTTCATTTTGAGGCAAGATCTCATGCATCCCAGGCTAATTGGAATTCGCTTTGTGGTTTAAGAATGACCTGAACATCTGATTCTCCCAAGATTGCTAAGGTGCTAAAATTACAGGTGTGCGCTTTCACTCCTGGTTTAGGCAATGCTGAAGCCTTATCTGAGTTAGATTAATACTTTACCAACTGAGCTAGGCCTGCAATCCCCACTGGTAAGGATTTTTGCATCTGTGTTCATGAATGATACTGATCTATAAACTTCTAACAGTTCTCTTATCTGGATGCACTGCAGTTATGTACCTTAGCATACAAGCTGGGAGGTAATTCATCCTCCCTAGTTTCTTGGGAGATTTTAAAAACAAACAAGCAAACAAAACAAAACGAAAAATCCTAACATCATTTCCAGGCAGTGGCACTATATACCTTTAATCCCAGCATTTAGAGGATAGAGGCAGGCAGATATCTGAGTTTGAGGCCAACCTGGTCTACTGAGTGAGTAAAGGACAGCTAAGACTATACAAGAGAAACCTGTTCTGAAAAACCAGAAAAAAGAAAACTAGCATCATTTCTTCTTTAAATGTTCTTTGAACCAGTGAAGCTATCTGGACAAGATTTTTTTTTAATTAATTAATTAATTAATTAATTTTTCTTTTACGTTCCTGCTGCAGTTTCCCTTCCCTCTTCTTTCCAGTCCCTCCCCACTTCCCCTCTTCCCAATCCCACTCCCATCCATTTTTCCCTTCAGAAAAGGGTGGGCCTCCCACAGATATCTACCAGCCAGGACATATCAAATTGCAAAAAGACTAGGCACCTCCTCTTTCATTAAGTCTAGACAAGGTAACCCAGTAGGAGGAAAGGGTCCCAAAAGCAGGTAACAGAGTCAGAGACAACCCCTGCTCTCACTGTTAGGAGTCCCACAGGAAGACCAATCTCCACAACTGTAACATAAATGAAGAAGGCCTAGGTTAGTCCCATGCAGGCTCTTTGGCTGGCGGTTCAGTCTCTGTGAGCCCCTATGGACCCTGGTTAGTTGATTCTGTGGGTTTTCTTGTGTCCTTTCTGGTGTGGCTCCTACAACCCTTCCTCTCCTTCCACATGATTCCCAAAGCTCTACCTAATGTTTGGCTGTGGGTCTCTGCATCTGTTTCCATCAGGTCCTGGAGGAAGCCTCTCTGATGACAATTGGGTTAGTCACCAGTCTATGAGTATAGCAGAATCTCATTAGGAATCATTTCATTGACTTTATTATTATCATCATTATTGTTATTATTATTATTATTTTGCGAGTCATGTTTGGTTTTATCCTAGGTCACTGAGCTTTCCAGCCTCTGGCTCCTGGCCCTACAAGAAGTGTCAGACATGGGATCCCTCTTGTGGCATGGGTCTCAAGCTGGACAGTCATTGGTTGACCCACTCCCACAAGTTCTGCACCACCTTTTACCACAGCACATCGGGCAGGAAGGACAGATTGTAGTTCAAAGGTTTTGTGGCTGGGTTGGTGTCCCAATCCTCCGACCTGGTTAAAGGAGATGGCTGGTTCAGGCTCCATGTTACCCATTGATGGGAGTCTTAACTAGGGTCACCCCCATAGATTCCTGGAAGTTTCCATTGCACTAGATTTATAGCTTGTCCCAGAAATGCCCCCGATTCCAGTGGACAAGTTATTTTCTATGAGAATTTTTTTTTTTTTTTTAATTTTGAGATCAAAATTATGTAGCCTTGGCTGGCCTCAGACTTGTAATCCCCCTGCCTTAGTTTCCAAAGTGTTGGGATCACAGGAGTGCTCCAGCACACCCAGCTGAAGGAAAGTTAAGACACTGGGTTTCCCCAAGGAAATGTTAGAATACTTTTTTCTTTTGAGTAAGTTTTGGTGATTTGCATCTTTCAAGGAATTTCTAGTTTCATTTAAACTGCCAAATTTCTTACTATAAATTGGTTCATAACTCTCTTCTGACATCTTGCAGTTTCTGTAGGCTTTTAGTCTGGGCCTCTGTCTAGTTTGTGATATTGATGATTTGGGATCATCTTTTTTTCTCACCACTTTGCTTAGAGGATTATCAATTTTACTGATATTCAAGATGTTTTTTTCTGTTTCACTGATTTCTGTTATTAAATTTATTTCATACATTCT